AAGTAAATGCAATTGATGGTATTTGTTCCAACGTACATTATAAGAAAGAATAAAATAAACTACCAAATAAAAAAAATTCAAAATTGGAAGAAATGTTTTAAGAATTAAGATGTCATTAAAAAATACAAAATAATTATGTCATCTCAATTATTTAATTAATTAAAATAAATTATTTCAAAAATAAAATATTATGCTATGTTTAAAATTTTATATAAAAATTATAAGCTCTATTATTTATATTTTTTAACAATAACTATTTAAGATCTTTTTTACTATATTAATATATTATTTTATTATTGTTATTGTTATTATCATTTATATTTTTTTTATCAATATTTTATTAATGCATGCACCATTTCATACAACTAGTCATTAGGATTGCATGTAAAGAATAAGTCATGAAGGAAGTAATAATCAATCAATATAATAAATTTAGAATAATTATTAAACAAAAAAGAAAAGCTGTATTAAAAATATAGTAACATTATTTTTATTTAACATTGCTTTTGGATTTGAGACCAATTGCACAAAAGTGGCATCATATTATTATTTATATTATATTATATTATATCACATATTTAAGCAACAAGTAAATGCTGTAGGTATCAAATGGTAAGAATAATAATAATAATAACAATAATATCAATAACATCAATGTTGTGAGATTGGTAGTGTTTGCATGTGGGTGTTGGCTATTTCTAGTGGGGTTGTGACTGAAACATCAATTTGGGGAGATTGTGACGTGGAGGTGCAGTAGTTACTTGCTACTGGATTTGGGTTAGGGCTAATACTTAGAATACAGTATTCCGGATTAAGATAGTGTTTTAACTTTGTTTTGTTTCTGCATTCTGGTGCCGTAGGTGCTGGAGTTCCTCTATGCAGGGGTGCTGCTCTCACTCCGGAGCACGCCTTGCCATTCCCAGCCTTCGCCCGTTCGTCACTGGGTGCCAGGGATTTTGGCTTGTTGAAAGACAGGCTGTTTCGGAGACTGATCGCATCTAGATTTGCTGTTGCAAAGCACGCCGAAATTGAAGGAGGATCTCTTAGAACTTGAGTAAACTTCAGACAAAGCAGAGTTTGCAGAAAGGTTGAAATAATAATAGCGATGAAAGCGGCAACAAAATCGTCATAATGCGAAAGGAGCTATGTGTGCCAGTTGTCATACTGCATTGAATCAGATGCCGTCGATATGCACCTGGTGGATGGACTCTCGAAAACAACACCAGGAGCGAGGGAGCACATGTTGAAGGAAGCTGCAATTTTTATGTTGATTCACAGCTACTACCATTAAAACTGGCATAGTATTCTCCTGTCCATGTCAGATGCTACGTGCTCTCATTTGAAACTAATGCTATGTTCGATTGCGATGCAAGTTATAAAACCGTCTGTCAAGGAGCTCGAATGCCGTGATATAAGTGTGTAATTCTTAAAGAGCAGCGCGAATGGCGTCGGGTTTGGCAGTCTTTTTTAATGGATGAAGCTCCAGATTTGTACAGCCTTTGTACGATCGCGTGCACCATCCTTTCGAGAATGTATGGGTTTGGGAGATGCTCAACGCAGACGTGGAGCCTGATGAGGTGAGAGCTGATTGCATGCTTGAAGGGTATGCAAGTTGGGAAGAGCCAGAGACTCTGCATGGGGTTTTACGAGCTACACAATGGCGAGGCCTAGTACCTCCACCTCATTTGTGCAGATTCCAATGCGCGAATTTATTTTTTTTGTTCACTTTGTCGCTGCCTCAATTTATCATTTCAATTTCCACCTGTGAGGACCGTGAGATACATTGTCCTACAAGAAGCAGTGCATTGCCATATCATCGACGTGTATGAGAAGGCAGGCTCATATGAAATGGCTGAGAAGATCTTCAAAAGAGATAACAGGTAGGTCATCTTTCTCACGAGAAAACTTAAACGCCGATGAGGAAGGTGAGAGCTGACGCCGGTCGATGTGAAGCAGCTTTAAAACTTTTCAATGAGATGGCAAAGAAGAATTTGCTTGCAACACCAGTGGCATGGAACACCCCACAGGCTTGTGTGAGAGTTTGACGATATTACGAAGCTTAGCAATTACGATGGACACTGTTGGTTACACTATTATGCTAAATACAAATTCGAAGGACCACGAAAGCTGAGCTCTTGTGCATATATATATATATATATGCGCAACCTTCATTCGCTCATTCTGTTCATGTTGGCTTGGAACACTACTGAAAACTCACTTTAAACACTACCAGCTCTGTCACAGAGATTTTAATCTTCACATGATTATACCCAACTCTTTGTTTTCTGGCTCAAGCTGAAACACTTTCAACTCATGGAGCTGCATCAGTGATGTGGTTAATGAAGTTCTCCCACTGGGTTTATATTTGATGCACTGCTGCTTCTAAGGTGTGGTGAAACCCTTGTTGAAAACTGCAATCTTCTTGTTTATGAGTTGGGGATTAGTACTGCTCTGGTAACACTTGCACTATGAGCAGATTTGATGAATCATGGATCATGGTGGAAGTAAGCTTCATTCATAGTGAAATCACATGGTGGCTTTGTATTTCAGGCAGGGTGATGATGAATCTTCTTCTAACTTGGTGATCTAGGGTTGGAATAGAACTAAAAGTTCATTTGCACTTATCCAGAGGGGTATTACTGAGGTGTGTAATGCAGATTTGGATTGAATGCCAATCTACTTATGATTATTTTCAAAAAACATTTTTTTTCTTCAAATATGAAAAGACCTTTCTCCTTGTTGTACTGAGTTGTACACTAGATTTTTGTCATTTAAATCAATTAATCCGTTAACAATATATTGAAATACCGATATGTTAAAATACAGCTAAAACACTGGCACGTAAAAAGAATAATCAAGTCAAAAATAAGTATTGCAAATGGATAAATAAATATATCCAAAACTAAAACATAAATGAAATCTGGTATTTAAGGTTGTGCAGGCTACCTTATTGTGTTATGAAAATCCTGCAATTTGGTGAATGATGACCTACAAAACTGGGATGTTAAATGGATACTAATTTCATATCTATGTGATATGTGTAAAAACAGTATCAATGGGTGATTATCATTTTTTTAATAGTGACATTACTGAGATTTGCAATATTGCATTGCTTTCTCAATTTACTTGTATGAATAAATCTAAGGAATAGACCAACCAAATCTTATTGATGTGAATATAAAAAAACACTTTTATTACACAAATACAATCATCGTTCACAAACTTTTATGCTTCTTGAGGAAGACTGAATATCAACAGAATATAGAATATCTATATTTAAAATTTAGAAGAAACAAGTTTTAAAAAATAAAATAAAAATAATCTGGGAATTGTATGGAACTACAACAATCATGATTGTACCCATTATAATTCTTGAATATTAATAATTGTAATGTGTCAAAAAGAATTTGGTATAGTATTTTAAAGCACTTCAATTTATGTAGTGGGTAGTTAATTTTCTCATGTATTTGAATGCACGTATCAACTCAGTATTGGTGCATCACTTGAGGGGTGAGTTGTGATTTTTCAAGTATTTATTAAATTTATTATGACATCTAAATTTCCAGTTAAATTTAAAACAAAAAAGTGTTCATGGGAAAATTAAAGAAGGTATTTTAAACATTTAATTGCAATAAATATAGATTTGCATTGTGATCACTTCAAGTAGGTGTGTATATGTAAATACTTGAAAAATGTGTATTTACTCAAAGGTACTTTCAAAAATTTCGGGAAAAATATTATATTATATTGTACTATATAAAATGGAATTCTATATTGTGTTTTGATTTGGTAGATTTAGCATAAACAATGTAGAGTTAATTTATATATCAAATAACTATATAATAATACTATTAATATCATTGTAGACCTTCTGCATTACAATATTTTTCTTTTTCATTTTTCCTAGTTTTGCAAAACACAAAAACATAGTTGACTGAAACATACAAAATTTGTACACAGAAGGTAATTGAAGGCTAGTCCACTACTAACTAAACTAAATGTCTAGTAGTGACCTTTAGAAACATAAATTGAATAAACAAACACTAATGTTCTTATCAAATTCAAGTTTTTAGAAAACACAGCATTGAATATGATTTCATCAACTACAATGAAATATTTTTAAAAATTTGATTGAGGTCGTTTTTTTTATCTTATTGAAATAAGTTACTATTGGTGAGTGTATCTTTCCAGTTTTAACTAAGGTATTGATTATCAATCACAAGTAACTTTAAAATACTGGTTGATATCATATTAATTACACTTTTATTATGTGAATTACACTAGCCTTCAACAAACAGAGACTTATATATATATATATATATATATATATATACGTATTTGAAGTGGAACAAAACATATTACACATATTTTAGTTAATCATATCATGTGTCTGAATTGAAGACGTGCCAGCACAAAAACATGAAAAATGAACAGATGGGAAGGGAAATCCATCAGAAACCTTATTTTCATCAACTTAAAAAATACATTCTTGAATAAATTCACCCATTCCATGCTCAATTTGTTTTTGGGGATTGTAATGATAACAAGCCAATCTTACAATCACTTTGTTTTATTTTTATTTTTATTATTTTTGTATAGTATCCTATTTAAGACTTTCCATTCATTTTTGACTTCCTTGTTCCAAGCCGACATGACCAATCAAATAAATTTTTATTGGGGGAATTCCTTGACTCACACCCCCCTTGCTTAGAATATCCCTTAAAAAAGGCCAGAGCACAAGTTGTCGGAGGGGAACATCCTGGGAACATTCTGGGAACGTGCAGCCGTGCCTAACGAAAGCTCCACGGAAGCCCACATCACCGAATCGCGTCAACCTCGCACCCCGTGTGAACAGAGCTTCTGGGAAACCGGACACAGACGGTACCTGATTCAAGGATTCGTAGATCCTGGAGACAAACGATCTACACTCCGTTTTTATTTGGCAGCCTTCGACCGCGTGATGTCGGTCACACGGTCACCACCCGAACCCCATATAAGCTCCTTGCTCTTCAGCTTGCGTTTTATATGTGCTCGTGCTCATCGTCACCCTCCTCTTCCCTCGCTCTAGAGTCGCATCGCCCTCTCTCGCTCTTTCTCAATCTTGTCTTCTCCCTCCGCGGCTTCGTTTCTCGCTCCAACTCTGTACCTAAGGTAATCACATGCATTGCCGTTGTGGTGCTGTACTGACACACACACCCACACACACACATATATATGTATATATATATATATATATATATATCTATATATGTTTTACTCTAGTTTCTCGGACGAGTATGGTGAGATACATTGTTGAGCTTTAACTGTGGTGTGACCTAGGTAATGAAGTGAATTAGGTCGATGTAGTGGCTGTCTTGTTGGATCTTTCTTTTTCTCCACTGGAGAGGATTTAGAGTACAAGTTGTCGGTACATGCTCTGGGAGCGTTCAGGTGGTGCAGCATGTGTCGATTTTTATTTGAGGTTTGGATGTATTCGAATAATCTAGGAGCTTTCGGAGACGTTGAGCAGTACCTTGGTTCGTCGCGTTCTTGTTTCTGTATTTGTTGATGACTGCAACGCGGTGCTGCCGGCGGATTCATCGTCCGTTCGCTTGTAAGGATTGTCAGTGTAGGAGATGTGAATCTGCCGTTTTTTGAATTTCAAACTTGAGCGAGATGACTTCTTCAGTTGGTAATGCCACCTTGATGGCGACCGACGCTTTGGATTTTTGTTGTAGATTTGAGACACATGTTGTCCGAGTTGTCTACTTTTCGTCTGGTCGGTTCAGTGGGATTTGATCAGAACCAGTTTTTTTTGTGTTCCATGCGGGAAGACTAGGTTTCGATGCGCAGTATACTTGAAAAGACTACTCTGTTGGATGAAGGTTGCTGCATTCCAAGAATCCAAAGCAGATTCACTGTATCCGTTAGCTTTGCAATCTATTCTGATGATATTGCCACGCAGTTTTCCGCATCTGTTTTGGGAGGTGTCTCGGACGAAGTTTCTGCATCGTGTCATTCTCCGGATTAGATTCTGACAGTTCTTCACCGTTTGCAGATTCTTTCAGTATGGATCATGGAAAGGTTCATGTTATTAACAACTCGGCAGCCTGGGACGCCAAGTTGGCAGAGGCCACGAGCACTGGAAAGATAGTGAGTATTCTGTTTGTTCACTTTTGTATCAGTTTTGTTCCTAACTCTCAACTCTCTTCTATTGGTTAGGCGATTCATCTCAAGTTGACTGACGGATATCATTGTCATTATTTTCCAGGTTCTCGTCGATTTTACCGCCACTTGGTGCGGACCTTGCCGGCTGATGGCACCTATTTTCGTTGAACTTAGCAAGAAGTATGAAAACATCATATTTTTGAAGGTGGACGTCGACGAAGTTAAGGTAAATATTTACTTAACAACCTTAGATATTGTAATCATAGGTCTATCTAAATCTTTCAGTCCTTTCCGGCTGAGAATGTTTTGTATTTTGGAGTTTACAGGTCCATATTTCTTGATTGTGCAGGACGTGACATCTCAGTGGGAAGTGCGCGCTATGCCCACATTCATATTTATCAAAGACGGAAAGAGTATTCACAAGGTAGTTGGTGCAAACAAGGATGAGCTCGAGAAGAAGTGTCAACAATTCGCTAGCCTCCCCAGCACAGTCTGAGGATAGCGGTAGTGCGAGTTGCTGTATACAATGTCCTGTGAACATGAATAGGCCGTTGATGTGCGCTTGAGATTTCAATTGGGTCTCTTATCAAATACTCACTATTTGGCCAAGTTTGTATATATGACTGGTTTCGGAAGCAAAGTGCACGTCTTCTTACTTCTCCCAATCTGCTTCCTCGTGTTTCGTGGGTGTTTTGAACTTCCGTATGATGGGTACTACCTCCAGCCGCTGGGGCAATGGCGCTCTCTGGAAATGCCCGTGTGGAGATGCTTCATGAATATCTTCTAGATTGATCAGAGACCGTTCAGAATTGTTTGTTCAGGACAATAACCTTGCGAAGGGTTCATTTTATGCATGGTTATAAATTTACGAACGTCTGCCTAATTGTTAATCACCTGTCATCATGCGCTACTGCCATTATTTTTGCGTAATGTAGTACAGACTTGATCAACAATTTTAAATTTAAAAAAGATTGGTGTACTCTTTATTCATCTGTAACCTTATTTACCAGTGTAATAATACAATTACAGCTACCTCTGTCACTTACTAAGTTCTCATAGTCTCCTTTTCCCACAACAGATTAGGACCGCAGTGTGAATGGTTAAATTCACAACCGTCAACTACGTGTCTCATAACATCGTAACTGAATTTTAAGCAAGTGCCATCTGTAATTTCTGTGATGTCACATTATCAATGAGGAAATACATACCTCTTGTCGAAGCTCCAACGGATACAGCGCAGTAAAACTATCTGTGGGTGAAATGGGAATTGACTTCTGCAACAGAGAGGAACGTTCAACACGGAAGTTCACTCTCCTTGCCTGATCCGCGCCTTCTTGAGCGTGGTCACGCGCTTGCGCGGGAAACGTCGCAGATGCCACAGCATTACTCATCTCTAACACAATCTCTCCGCTTCTCACACTTTGAACTGCAGACGTGCAGACAGTTGGCCACTTGCGGTTAATCAGGAATCAGGTTTCTGCTTTTGTAAGCACTGACAGCCCGACAGGGAGTAGAGGGATCGAGCGACGGATGTGTGCCTTTTGGGGGTCAGCACCATGAGTGGAATATTCTAGTCCACACACGGAGTGCGTGGATGCGGTTGCGTCGAACTGGGCACCTCTCGGAAGAATCTTCAACCGAAAAGAAATATCTGCTGCTGCTGATGGTGGAGCGAGAGGGGGGTGGCAGTCCCGAGTCGAGAACAAGCAAGGCTTTGATCCACCACAGCCATGTCAAGCCATGTTTGTTTGTTTGTTTTTGTATTTGTTTTGTTTTGTTTTTTTTAATACCTACAGCCCAGGTTGAGAGTCAGGTGCAATGTGGGTCAGCATGGTGTGGGCGAGGCAGGGGATGAAGAAGGAAGAGAAGGGCAGCAGTGCTAGTGGGGCTGAGAAGTGCACAAGGCAACCTCGATATCAACATGGAAAGGCAAATGCATCTGTATGAAGAAGACAAAGGCATCTGGATGATGAATACAAAGCAGGATCATTATTCTTTTCTGTTTTTTTTATTACTGTTTGTTTTGATTTTTTGTTTTGATTTGTTTTTTTTAATAAAGTGCAGTTGGGACAGTATAGTTGGGATTTGAGTCACAACGATTATTTGGTATTATCAAAACGATTATTTGGCTACCTTTATATTTTCCATCTATTATATTTTAGAAATTTGAGTTTGTTTTTGCATGCTATGATACATATTGTAAGAACATTTTTGAAGTAAAATATACAGCATGATGCTAACTCTTTGGTTGTATTGTTTTGAAAAGCCTTTTAATTTAATTTTATTCTTTTACTTGTTAAAAGTAGTATGATGTTATGAGGGTTTTGATAAAAAATTATGTTTGTTATAATTTCATTTTTAATGTGAATTTATCTTTGATTTTTGTAACATATCAATTAATATTATTATATAAATATATTGTTGGTAAATTTTATTAAGTCAAAAATTATTATATACTAAAAGTATGTAATATTTGATATCTTAAAATTAATATTACAATAATTATAAAACATTATACATGATGTAGCTAATGCATATATTACTAAAAAAAATATAAGTAAGTAGAAGAAATTACAATATACTAGGTAGATAACATGTTTTTGTAGAAAAATTAAATATTTTTTTTATATCTATATTAAATCTATGAATTCTTCTAAATATGGAATGTGACTTTAAAAAAGTTTTTTAAAAATTTTATACTTCTAGAAAGCTAATATAGAAGTATTTGAAAAATTAGGCACTTAACCTATAAGGTTTGTTACTCTTAGAAAAATTCTATATAATCTTGTTAGTTAATATATACAAAAATCATTTTTATTATTAAATTCTTTTTTTTTCTAATTAAATATTAATTAAAGAATCTCTATTTTTTTTTATTTTTGACTATAATTATTATGATTAATTTATATCTTCTATTTATATCTTTTACTTAATTCTATATTATTCCAACTTCAAGCCTTTTGGAATTACAAATGGATTAGTTGTTTTTATTTAATTCTATATTATTCCAACTTTAAGCCTTTTGGAATCACAAATGGATTAGTTTTTTTTAAGATATAATAAATAATATTCTATAAGAATATTTAGATTATTTTGTTATTTTTTTTAATTTAAATAATATTTTAATTTATTCCAAGCATACAAAAAAATATAAATAAAAAATGTCTACTTTCCAGACATTCTTTTTTTGTACCAAAATAAGGTAATGCAACTTTTAATCAATAATAATATTTTTTTTTGAAACTAAACCAATTTTTATCTTCAAATCAATATTAATTGTTAATTTAACATCTCTTAGTAAAGTCCAATTGAACATATCATTAGATCTACTTATACATAATATTAAGAATAATTCTTTTAAATCTCACAATATTTTGAAGTTTGAATTCAAGCAAAATCTTCTTCATTTTGAGAAATATTTTTATGTTCTAAAATATAAAGCATTACTATGTGTTCTTCAAGCTTGCCACAATTTTTCAATTATAGAATATTTTAGATACAACAAGACCGTGGAGTTAATACTAAAAGATTTTTTTTACACTTAAATATAGAAGGCAATTAAAGACTTTGTACAATCATATAATATTTTTTGAAGATAAAAAATTCCTTGTTATTGACTTTATATACTTTTTTAACCACTACATATATTAAAACAACCATGGTCATGTATTTTTATGAATTTTATTATAGAGGTTCTAATTTTAAGTTCTTACGATTTTATATTTTTGATAGTGGATTGCTTCACTAAGATGACATATTTTTTTATGTTAAAAAATTACTAAAATTAAAAAAATAATTTGGTTTTTTTTGATAATATTTATTGCTACCATAGATTGCTAAAAGATATTATATTAGATAAAATCAATTGAATGTGTGTCTAGATTTTAAAGAATTATTTAAAAAAAATTTAAGATAGATATAAAATTATCATTGGCCTTCTATCTTCAAACTAATAGACAAAGGAAATAAGTGAATTAAGTATTAGAGTAATATTTGAGATATATAATTAATTATCATCAAGATCATTAGATAATTTTTTTTATTTTTGTAATTTTTTTATATAACAGCAAAGTATATTCTTCTATTCAACAATCACCTTTATATGTTAATTATGGTTATTATCCATAATTTGATGTTTTTAACTTTTTAAAAACTTACAATCCTATAATTAAAGATTTGACAAATAGTTTATTAGATCCACATGTGATAATAAAGACACAATTAAATATAGCTAAAAAATATATATATTTTCAATAGAAATATCTATTATAAGAAAAATTATCAATTCTATATTAGTAACAATGTTTAATTATTTTATAATATTAAGACTATTTGTCCTTGTGACAAATTTGATTACTATAGACTTCTATCATTTTTTAATTTGTGAACAAATTAATCCAACTATATATAGATTATACCTATATGAATCTATAAAGATCCATTATATATTCCATGTATATCTTTTTTAACCATACAAGGTAGTGAATATATTGAAAAAAAGACAAATATTATCTTTCAATATAGAAGTAGATAATAATCAAGAATTTGAAGTGGAAGATGTCTTAGATTCATAGTAGTGCTAAAAAAGTTCAAAGATCTTGTACATTAGTATAGATATGATATTAATGAATATACATGGTAGCCATCTAAGATCTTTGTAAATATTATAAATAATGTAGATGCTTATTATTAACAATATCTTTTAAAATTAAAATAAATATTTAATTTTTTTTAATGATGAACAAAACATGTTCACTAAAGATTGCATGTTCTCTTCTATCCTTATTTTTGGTTTCTTTGTGTTTGTGGTATAAAAAGATAGACAATCAATAATCAAAAAATTTAATTTAAGAAATAGTGTTTGTTAAGTTATTACATAAGCCATTAAAATTTTCAAAACGAGAAAGATAATTTAATAGAAATAAAGATTCTTAAAAAAAACATATTCTTCTTTATATAAATGGCAAGATATAATTTTATTGGTATCATGACTTTAGAAGAAATTTTTGATATTTGGTGATATTATTGGAAGTAAAAACCATTCTTAATGATATTTTAAATTATTTATATGGAAGAAGTTGTGATAGCCTTAACAATGATAAAATAATAGGATGGTCTTTTGCCTTAGTATAGATACTAATAACATTTAAAATGGCCTATTAATCATCTCTAAAAAGAACAAATATCAAATTATGTAGCAAATATAATTTGCCGCATCTAAAAATTTCTTAACATGTGATCATTGCTCTTTGTGGAATTTATCTCTAAAAAGAAGAAATAATATTATGGACATATATATTAATACTAAAAATTATTGAAATAAAATAAAACTATATAGAATAAGTACAAGTAGGTAATTTGATGATATCTTCTTGAGAAATATTTTAAAAACTTTAAAAATATAGATATAATTTTACAAGTATTTATAGATAATCAATAATTTTAAAACTTGACCAAGACTACTATATTATTAATGCCACATTTTGCTTGACTTCTCATGATTAATTTAGTCCAACTTCACTCAATTCCTTACATTGTGCTCATGAATATAGATTGATGCAATATAGTTGGGTCATCATGCCCTAAAATGTTGTGAGTTTGATTAGTCTATATCCACCCCTCTAACTTAACAATTATGAGTATGGAGGCAACTCTATATGTTGCACTTAAGGCTCTCTTTTAGAAGTGTAAGAGGGGTGGAAAATAGATAAATAAATAATCTAGGCTACACCTTATAGACTTCAATGTTTGAAGGTTTTAAAACATTTTACGAAAAAATTATTTATAACAAGTAGAAGTTGGAGATGTTACCATTTACTAGAATATAAAGTTGCTACAACAATGTAGTTTCTTTTTGTAGATTCTATGTGCAAATATGGCTCTAAAAAGTATTTATTAAAATAAAAAGATGATTGATAGTAGATATATATTAAAATTAGAAATAATTAAAATCTAATTAAAAAACATATATAAAAGAAATAAAAAATTAT